ATGGCTGCCGTCGCCCGGTCCTCTTCCTCGTCCTCTTCCTCGTCCTCCTCGTCCCGTCCTCTTCCTCGTCCTCTTCCTCGTCCTCCTCGTCCCGTCCTCCTCGTCCCGTCCTCTTCCTCGTCCTCCTCGTCCCGCCCATGGGTGTGGGTGCCCTCGTCCTCGCCCCGTCCTCTTCCTCGTCCTCCTCGTCCTCGTCTGAAGTCGGGCCTGTCCCCCATACAGGGGGATCTTCGACGGAAAAGAAAGAATGCCCCAGGAATAACCAAAACATAGTCAAACAATAGTCTGGGGACATTATTATTATTATTATTGATATTATTAGTATTATTATTATTATTATTATTATTATTATTATTATCATTATTATTATTATTGATATTATTATCATCATCATTTTCATTATCATTATCATTATCATTCTTCTTCTTCTTCTTCTACTTCTTCTTCTTCTTCTTCTTCTTCTTCTTATTATTATTATTATTATTATTATTATTATTATGATTTTTATTACCTTTTTGGGGTATTTTGGGGGTATTTTTTATTTTTCGTCGAAAATCCCCCTGTAGGGGGACAGGCCCGGCATAATCCTCGTCCTCCCCTCCTTCGCCTCCGGGCCGTCCAGCGGCCGGCGGGCCCGGCAGGTGGCAGCCCTGCCGGTGTGTACAACACGGCTACGCGTAGGAGTGACCCTTCGCGGGGGTGTCTTTTGGTGCTGGCCCACAGGGGTGCCCCCTCCCCACCTTTGTCTTGCGCGCTTGGATTTGGCCGTTCCGCGGTCCCCTAGAGCTGCGCACCCGCGGTCACTCTTGCCCAGGATCCCTCCTGCGTGCAGGCGAACAACCTGGGGAGCTGTTACAAGGGGGGGAAGCTGGCCTGGCAAGCCCCCCCGACCCGGTCCCCCGGTTGGCAGCAATGAAACTTGGCCAGGAAATATCAGGCCATGCTGAACTCGGCCAGGCTGAATTCAGCTTGGCCGAGTATCGCCTGGCCGAGTCTTTCTCTCGTCGTTGGGGCTCCGCGGGGGGAGGCCCCGACAAGAGACGGGTCACGGGTGGCTCGCCAGGAGGAGAGGACATTCGTCGCTTCTCGATTGTGACCATCGCCCTGGCATGCGCTCGTACGAACTCGCTCGAAAAGCAAAGCTACTCGGACTCAGACTCGCCCAGACACACCCCGAGCGAGGCCAGCGAAGGCGGCCCCAGGTGGGTGGCCGCACCGGCGGTGGGTCGCCAGTGGAGCCACGTGGTGCATTTGGGCAACCCGACTTCCACCGGGTCGGCCCAACAGGGTCAAAGACAGCAGGGAGCGATGGCCGTCACCCCCTGCTCCCCGGTCGCCCGGGGCACGGCGGGGAGGCTCCTCCTCGCCAGGCCTCCCAGAGGGCATCGAGGCAGATGGGGTCGGAGGATCGCGCCGCATCGCCGATGCACCGGCGATGCGGCCTGCTGCGGAGCCAGACTTTCTCCACGCAGGCGGCGCCGATGCATCCTCAACGTCGCCGATGCATCGCCCATGCACCAGAGGTGCATCGGTGATTCGGCGCCATCCTTGGACACCATTGGCATGCTCCCAGGGCCCCCTTCCATGGGGGGGGGACGGGCGATCGAGGCACCCGCCCGGAAGGAGAGCTGTCAAGCGAGGCAGGAGGCAGACGAGCATCGCGCATGCCCGATCCGCTCTCCGCGGGGGAAGAGAGCCACAAAAACACTTTTCCGTGCAAAGCAGGCAATGCTCGTGGACGACGATCGATGGAGAGGAAGCATGTAGCCAAATCATTTCCAGATGTCCAACACATGTTTAAACGTGTCTTGAACATGTAAAAGACAGGATTTAAACATTCTCGGGGCATTTTTCAAACATTTTAAGCACATCTTCAGTTCAAAGATAGGATTAAATCGGGCCTGTCCCTCTACAGGGGGAAAATTCAAAAATAGTAAAAAAAATAGTCAGGGGAGGGTTTTGTGAGTATTTTTTGATCATTTTGGAGCATTTCTTGGGTATCTTTTATTTTTCGTCGAAAGTCCCCCCTGTAGGGGCACGCCCGACTTAATGATGGGATTGTCGGGTTGTCCACTGCCATGGCAGCCACGAAGCAGTGCCCCGGCCGCGAGGGGCCCGTGGGGGCGGCGGCCCCACTGGGGGAGCCCGGCGGCGTGGCAGGGACGGCGGGCCGAAGCCCACCAGGAAGCCGTCCCCGCACGGGCGGGGGGAGCTCGCCGTCGGCGGAGTGCGCGTGGTGTGGGAGGAGGAAAAGGTACCTCCTCCTCCTCCTTTTCCTCCTCCTCCTCCTCCTCCTCCTCCTCGGCCTCTACCCCCACCCGTTTTTCCCTTCTTGGGCCTCCTGGGAGGCCCTCGTCGCCACCGCTGGATTCGCCCCGAAATCCTGGGCAGAACGCGCCCCGGGAACTCGCCGTCGGCGGAGTGTGTGTGGTGTTGATAGGGAAACGAACAGTGGCATAAACATAAAAACTCGGAGGTCCGCGCGGATTTCTCGGATCCGCGCCGGGGTCCCCTGGCGCGCTCCGCGCTGCCAGGGAGGGGGGTCCAGCGCCGATCCGAGGAATCCGCGCGGACCTCCCGAGTTTTTATGTCTATGCCACCTTTTGTTCCCCCAGTGGAAGCGCTCGCACAGCGCAGCCAAACAGCAGCACGCGCATGCCGAAGCCAGATGAGCCAGAGCTCCTCGTCCTGCGCACAGTCCCAAGCTTTCTCTCTCTCTCTCTCTCGCAGGCCAGATGCTGACGCAAGCCCCGACAACCAACCTCTCGGTGCCGCGGGCTTTTTTAGGGGGCCCACCCCTCCCGACCGTGGCCGAAACAACCGCCGGACAACATGATCGCGCTCTGGGAATCACCCACCCCGCCCAACCATGGCCGAAGACACCGCCGAACGGCATTGGTGCATCCGAAATCGACACCTAATGGTCGTCTTGCAATTTTTGTCTTGCGCCACCGGAGCGGCGACAAAGTCCGCAGCGCCAGCGACCGTTTCCGAGCTCTCTTGCTCTTCCTAGCTTTCTTACGATCCTCTTTGCGACTCGCACTCCTGCGCTGGCAGCGGGTAAGTACCACCACCATTCGGCGTCGTAGTGTAGTGTCCATCTGACCTTCTCTGGTATGCCCCAAACTGGCACGACCAAAACTGGCGGGCCTAGACCACGGGCGCTGCCAGATCACACCTCCACTTCACCAAGGACCAAGGGAAACGTCCGAGGACCCAACCGCCCCAGAGTGAATGTGGGACGAAGAGGGTTGTACACTCCCGCCCCCAACACGAGAAGTGAGTCCGGAATTACGTCCAACCGCGAACCGAACCCCCCCCAAAAGCCCGAGAGGGGGTGCCCCTGGAGGGGCATGGGTTAGCCACATCCCCTCCCTCCACCTTCCCTCCCTGTCCTAGCATTCCAGAGGCCTCAAGCAAACAAAGATCCAGAACCACGACGATGATCCTAGGATGGGAGACGAGGCTGGAGCCGCCATTCTTGCAATCCTGCAGGAGCCTTCACGTAATTCCCTGGACTCCTCTACGACTTCCGTGAAGGGCAGCGCGATGAGGCGTGTGTACTCTTCCTGCTTGTCCACACCACCACCTCGTCATCGTCATAGCCGTCCACTTGTCTATCGAACTGTTGCTCATCATCGTGATCGTCATCCTTCTCCTCGCCCTCCCCCTCCTACTCCTTCCCCTCCCCCCCTCCTCGTCCTCCTCTTTGGAGGGCATGTCTGATCAGGCGGCAGCCTCTGCTGCGTGTAGGATCGGCCGTGATGATGGCCTCCAAGTAGGCTTCTCAGCGACGACGGCTGCTGCCGTGGACGCCCCAGGTGCCGGGCCAGCGACACTCCCGCCGGCCGCTGCGCCCGAGTCCTCGGTCCTCTGCTGCTGCCGGCCCGCGTCCACATCGCTTCTCCTCCGCTTCGATGATCCTCAGGACGCGTGCTAGCACAAGGTGTGTTCAACGTGCTCAGCTCCACCGACAGCACGCAGCCAGCGTCGGCTCTCCGTGCACTGCCTACGTCGTGCTGGAGCACATCGATCGCGAAAGATCACGGCCAGAGCCCCAGGCCCTATCTCTCTGTGGCATTTTTCTGGCCGGATCGATCTATAATGGTTCCAGGGCCCAGAGCGCGCTGGAAATGCCTGTTATAAGCAAAATTGCAGCGCCCCGATGCCGAGGAGGAGGAGGAGGAGGAGGAGGAGGAGGAGGAGGAGGAGGAGGAGGAGGAGGAGGAGGAGGAGGAGGAGG